AGATACAACGCATTGTCCCATGTGGTTCTCTCTCACGCACCCAGCTCCTCTTGGGCTGGATGCGATGGTTCAGGTGTGGCCGAAGCTACACCTGTACACTTTTCCTCCGATAACCATGCTTCCGGGAGTTCTGGAGAGGGTTCGCCGGGAAGGGGCCCGTCTGTTACTAGTAGCCCCGTACTGGCTGGCCCGAGTTTGGTTCTCGGACCTGGTGTCCCTTCTAGACGGCTCTCCGATGGAGATTCCGATCAGGAGGGACCTATTGTCCCAAGCAGGGGGCACGATTTATCACCCTCGCCCGGAGTTGTGGAAACTGTGGGCTTGGCCCCCGCCACGAGAAGACTGCTTGGTGTGGAGAACGCCAACTGAATCCTGTTAACTGCCCTGTTGCTACAGTACTCGATTATCTGCAAGAGCGTTTCTCTCTGGGGTTATCTCCTTCCACCTTAAAGGTATATGTGGCGGATATATCTGCTTACCACACTCCTCTGGGTGGTGCATCAGTGGGGAAAGATCCTCTTATTTCACATTTTCTTCGTGGCACCCTGAGGCTGAGGCCTGCACTGTGCACTAGAGCACCGGCTTGGGATTTGGATGTTGAATTGGAAGGGTTGGCTTTTGCTCCCTTCGAGCCCATTGACGAGGTTTCAGAAAAGTTCCTTACACTAAAAACTGTATTTCTTCTTGCTATTTCTTCCACCAAGAGAATTGGAGATTTGCAAGCCTTGTCAGTTACTCCTTCGTATCTATAATTTGCACCTGGTATGGTGAAAGCATTTCTGCACCCTAGGCCGGGTTATATTAAGGTCCCTACTAATGTTGCGGGCCCAATAGTTCTGTCCTCCACCTTTTAATACACCAGATCAGGAAAAAAATTAATTTGCTGTGCCCTGTGCGGGCTTTGGATGCCTACGTACACAGAGCTGCCCTGTGGCGTAAATCGGATCAACTATTCGTCTGGGAGACTATTCGTCCTATTATTGGGGGTTTTCCTTCATGACATCTGTAATGTGCCAGGCTGGTCATCACCGCATACATCTGTTAGATTTTATGACTTGGATCTAGGCTCCACTCCAGGGTCTAGGGTGCTTGCTTCTTAGTGTGCGCAATGATTTCACACAGAACAGGCATTTGCTATTATGGTGTCGTGGGTATAGTGTTCCCACAGTGTCTCGATGCAGCTCAAGTTCCCTTGAAAGGGAACGTCTCAGGTTACGTATGTAACCCTGGTTCCCTGAAGAGGGAACCCTGGTTCGCCCTGCAATACTCCCTGCATGCCTGTGATCGACTTCCTTCGGCCTATCAGAAGCTAACGCGGTCTGTTTTCAGAAGTGATTTATAGTTTCCTGGTCTATGACGTCACCCGCCTATGACGTCTCGTCACACCATTGGACTGATTATACATGTGCAGGGGCGTTCCCACAGCATCTCAATGCAGCGTCTCGATCCCTCTTCAGGGAACCAGGGGTTACATACGTAACCTGAGATGTTAATAAACATCTAATAAAAGTTCTAATTGTGTTCATTGTTTGTTCATGTTAGTTCACAGTGCATTAACAAATAAAACTTTTGATTTTAATAATGTATGAAAATGTTGAAATTAACATTAACAAAGATTAATAAATGCTGTACAAGTGCAGATCATTATTAGTTCATGTAAATAATGTAGTTAACTAATGTTAACTAATGAAACCTTTTTGTAAAGTGTTACCAATATTAAATGTGGAAAAGTAAATATGAATAAATTACGATACAAATTCCCATGTTTCATTTTTAGCACATTTTTGTATTATTCTGCATATGAAAAAAAAATACATTTAAAAAAAAAAATCTCTATTGGGCTGCCATTTGATGCCCAATCAACCCTGGAGAAAAAACAGGTGAGAACTAACAAATGTATACCATGTTCTGTTTATCAAAATCAAACTTCAAGCAGATGGAGAAACATCTTGAAAACTGGGATTGGCAGGTGAAAAAAGAAAAGAAAAAAAAGAATATTTGCAAAAATCTGAAATTAACACCACTTCTCTCATTAGTTTAGATGGTAATTTGTAGTGAGGATTCATAATTTCATCTGGCATCAAAGCATCACTCAAATGTGTTTGCTCAAGTCTGTGCTTTTGTGTTTGTCTGAACAAATCCTCGGTGCAATGACGTCTTGGGAATCGTCTCACTGTTTCTTTGTTTCTGTACTTGTTTTCATTGTTATTCGGGGAAAAAAGCAAAGAGGTTTTGTTGATATAACAACAAGGACAATAGTGCTCCATTTAACATCATCAACGACCATCATTGTCACGACCTTGGTTGCTCTAAAACGTTTCTCTTTCAAGAATCAGGAGATGGCCTTTACGTCATATTCTGCATATAGGCCACCCATATAACACTGCTCTATGAAACACAAATGATATGCAACAATGAAATCGTTCATTTTGAGCTGGCCGGTACAATTATGATTACCTGGGTTCTAAAACAAAGCATATACTGTTTTTAATGATCATTAGAGGACACTGGTGAAGAAGTGATAGACCAAACACTGGAGATATTCTTCAATGAGAATACAGGGCCAAATTGGCTGTGAGTTCATTTCAACAGCCCCATTCTAGCCAGCTTCAGTCTACACACCACCTGTGTATGCCTGTTCTTTTGATGCTAGCTGAGAGAGACAAAACACAATTTTGTGAGCTCATCCATTACAGATCTCACTACCCTGTGACCTTGAAACAAGCTAATGTGCTGTACCTACCACGAATATGCAAATCATGGACTCATCTCATATTAGCCTGCTTACCTTACCTTAACTTAGACATTTTGATATTCATTTAAAAGACACTTTAGTTGAGTGCAGGGTTTGGGTTAGAGTTACCTGAAATAAAATTACACTGAGCTGTATTTCTCGGTTCATAAACTAAAAATATTGTATTTATCTTTTTGAATTTTTGTGCACTGTGCTTCAGTAAACATACGTCTGAGAGATAAAAACAGACAGATTTATTATATCACAAAAATATGTTGAAACTGAAGCTGGATATCATATTTAGTCACATACGATCGCTTTTTTTTTACCAAAAACAATGCTGATGGATATTTTGTCTCTGCTGAGTCGCAAATGTAATAACTAAAATAGCTATTGCTTTTTGTTTCAACAAACCTACATGCTATCAAAATGATTTTTCTCTTCAGAAGTGTTACTTTAAAATGAATCTACAAATCTACAAACAAGTTAGATGGTTTGCCGCCAGCTTTTCCCACAAGACTTAACTAGCATAACCAGCCAGATAAAAAAAAAAAGGAAAAGCACCAGCGCTAACAAGAATAAACCAGTAGTCTAAGCAGTTTTTTTTTCAGCAGCAATGTTCCTCTAAATGCAAGTACATAAAATAAGAATATTTTTTCCTTCCTAGACTATAATGACCTTCATTTGTCTTCTCCATGTAGTGGTTTTATAAGAATAATGTTTTGTGTACCTCAGAGAAGGATATCAGAGGAAAACCTCAGGTTTCGAATTGCGCTGGACGCTAACGCGTCGCATGTCTCCTCTCGCGTTTCATCTAATCGATGCATCCGATCGATACCGCGGAAGACGATGAGGCTATTTACAGAGACACATACCTCCAGCTGCAGTCATCAACCACATAAATAGATGTAGCGCTGATATGCTACAGGACGGCAAATGCAAAATCGAATGGAACACTGTCCCGTTCGTGAAATGCTAATGAATGACCTAAAACAGGAACGAGAGCAAGTGTGAAATATGTTAGGACACTTAAAAACAAGCACGCACATGTCAAGCGAGATATGTGAGAACGCTACCGTAGGCACACTTTGATTTTTTAGCAGAGATGAGGCAATAACAAGCTTCAGAGGCTAAGGGTTTAAGAGAAATAGAGCCACACTTGATGACAGGAATAGACAGGACGCTACAGTTTGTGTAGGCAGACTTTAGCTGAGCGCGGCAAGATTTAACAAAGCTGAGACAAAGCATTACAGTAAAGACACACCGAGGCCCCATCTGTTCAGAAAGCTCTCAGATCCATTCTCAAGAACACTAGGCGGAAATTGTAGACCACTCAGCATGCAACCATAGGGTGCAAGGGAAAAGGAGCGCTGCAAACAATTCAATATCTTAAGTGCACTTTTGAGTGCCACAACACAGACTCCAGCATGTTTATGTTGTGCCACGTAGATGCAGAGTGTTGAACTGCACGATAAAACAAGGAAGGCAAATGATTGATTCATTAAAACTGGGATGAAGACTTAATAATCAATTGAATTGCAGGTTAAGCGGGAACTGAACAGGCGAGTCAAACTCCAATTTACGCTTTGTGTTTCTAATCAGAAAAAAAATAAGCTGTTTGTTCAGTTATTTAAGCCTGCAGTGATTAGTGTCAGGGCAAAGTACTAAAGGTTAATGAGCATTTGATAAGGCGCCATTTTATTAACCAAAACACTTTTTTTCCCCTCGCTGAAACAAAAAATCTGACACTTTTTCTGACTCCACAGATGGTCTGAGAAACGTGATGAAAAATGGTGTTTGCCACACTTCAGAATTGTGTACCCCAAGCCGGGATAGATTTGGCCATATGCGACATTAATCACTTTTTGCTTACAGATATGAAGGCGATCGACTGCACTGTAAATCATGACAAAGGTCTGAGTATCGACGCTTGATTTAGTGAGGAGAAAACAAAGCATCTGCTCTTTTTTTCTGTTGCTCTCTGGGCTGCACGTCTTCAATCAATATCCATCAACGATTTTGAAATTACACCCAGATTAAATCCCAATTTCATCACCAGGAGTCACATCTGCTGAGTTTCATTTAATTACATCAGCCTAGAAAAGGAGAATCAAAGTTGTTTGTCAACCGTTATTTACACACCGAAATGTCCACAAAATCCCAAACCAACGCGAAGCTGGTTTTTGACAGGGTTTCCTCATCCACCCATCACATGATGTAAAGATTTCACTTTATAAGACATGAATAAAATCCCCTTAAGATTTACCTTGTACAATGAGGTGCACTTTTGTCGATTCTGGTTTCTTGTTCGTGAGGATAGAACATACGTACGGTCCCTCGTCGTATAAGTTCACGTTTAGGATTTTTATACTGTATTCAGTGGCTGCTGTGTTTAGTAGGACCACCCGGGGGTCCAACGACCATTTTTCATTCCCTGTGAAGAGAATAGTGGTTCGGTTGAGCCATGCCACCCGTGATACTTTGTTGTCAACATTGCACCTGTTGAACGACACAAACAGAAGAAAAAAACATGATTATTTGCTGTACGTTACATTTTAAAAAATAAGATCCGCAGTCGTACACAAGAAGGCATCATTACGCAATTTAACAACTCAGTTTGAAATGATTCAGATATATTTTGAGGAACTATAATGAATGTCAAAGTGTTATAGTTTAAATGAAGAAGTCATATTGGGACAGCATGTTCAATTATGTGCTACACTTTTCTTAACGTCTTTTTAACAGTAGGAAAAGGTCAAGTTAACTTCTATAAGAAAGCTAAGAAAACAATTATTTATATTCTAGAAGCAACCCTGGAGTCCAAACCCAGGGTCCAACCTTCAATTCTAAAGACTTTACTGGAGAAATATCATAATGCATAATTCCTTGGAAGGCAAAAGAAACAACATGTGACAAGGCAACAGGTAATATAAATATGTATAACTGTCCTTTTTCTTTCCTTTTCTATTACATATCTTGAAAACCAGTTGGAAAATGACAATAGCTTTTCATTTTATCCATTTCAAATAGCCATGAGGAAAAATTAGAGCAATTCTGGGCAATAGCCACCTTTCAGTTAAGAAGAATCTGGATATGACACTACATTTGTCTCCTTCACAGGAAAGGACATTTCTTAAAACTGCAGAAAAAGACCTAGAGGCGTTCACTATACTTATCTTTTTTACCCTTTTCTAAACTTTTGATTGACGGCTCTAAAGGTTAGGACTAATTGAAAGTCAGAGCTACATATTAAAAAACGGAGGCCATAATCGCATGCACAGAAATGTACTTTCTCAAAAGGAACACACTGTTTTCATGGTTTTATTTGTCATTTGCTATCTGGCATTTGGTTTACTTGTCAATAGTTATTTTATACAGGCTTAACAATGGCACAAAATGTGCTGTGTTGACATGGTTTTCATCAATGACATCAATGAATTTTCAAAACACCATTGCCAAACCGTTCACGTCAGCATGCCAAAACACTGCAGTAATTCATATTAGTCTTTAAGAGGGCTTCACGCTCAAGGTCAATATCAGTAAATGGATTATCAGACCCTTTACTGGTGAATTTCCCGGCTCTGAAAATTAGTCAACAAGAGAGCGCTCTTTTGGCAAATCTGGAGGGCAACAATTGCAAGTGTGAAGTGAATGCTTTCTCAGGATATTCTTCAAAGGGAAAAGCTCATTCAGACTCTGTTAATCTATGCAGAGTGCTGGAGCGCAAGAGAGCTTGCAGAGGATTTGAACCATTGAAAACCACAAGATTAAGCTCCGGTCTATAATCATGCATGCTCTGCAGTTTTTGCTTGGGAATCACTGTGTACATTCAAACAATAGAATGGATTTTTAAAAAAGTTTCGGTCTAAAAATAACCCCATAGTCGCTCTAAGCTTGGCCTTAACACCTTAAAGTGTTGCAAAATCTACTGTTCATATTTTAACATCTTGGTGCTGTGGGCCGTAATATCCCTCAACTTAAATCTTGCTTTCCCCTCCATACCAAAAAAATCGTATAACTACCAGAAAAACGTCCCGCAAAATGTTATTATGCACATTAATTCTGTATGCAGCACCCTCCATCTTCCAAAACGGCACTGTTCATCATGTCCCAATATGTGTCTAGTAGATAAGTGTATGAATTTATACCCTTATTCTGGCTGAAAGCGACAAACTAAGCCTGAAACACCAATATAATGACATTAGGATGATGGAGGCTGCAGCAAAAGTTAATTTTCTGTTCAAAAGTTACATTTTAAGTGGCTTATTGGTGAAAGCCTTGCACTGTGAATTGGAAGGTCATGGTTCCAATCCCACCGTGGGCACCTTCTCTGGCCGTTCTGAGCAGGACGGTTCACACCTCATCTGCTCCAGGGGTGCTGTGGGACAGATGATTGCGTGCTCTGAATTTCTGCATCTGCCTGTGACAGATTAGATTAGCAATATGCAAGATAACGACTTTGCATAGTGGCTGGTTGAAAAGTCCTACAAAATAAGGCAAAAAAATTGCTGTGATTTTCATACAAACTTAGCGTTGGAGGTGATTATACATTTCTAAAACAATTAGGTCCAGGACTTGATTTGAATCTTCAAATATACAAATATGTATGTTTATGCAATAGCAGGTCAAACAGAACACTGCAATGTCATCACGCAGTATATGCTTCACATCAAACTGCATGCATACATTTATAATGATCCATTTCAAACAGCCGCCGCACACATTTACATATGCATATCAACCAATGGATCCATTATAAATGCAATATGCTAAAAAGACCACCCTCACTGTGCTCGAATTGACTGTCACTTAAATTTAAGGCAGAGGGAAAAGCATATAGATTTTTCCACTCAGTGCTAAAAAGTAAGAGGTGTTTCTTGGAAGGCAGAGCCTCCATTATCCAGCATTGACAGGGTGAGATCAGGCCTCATTCAGTGAACTAATGACTCTGTCACACCAGTCCCTTGCACTTCAGCCTAATGGACTGTCAGCCACATTGGTGCGAGATCGTTTATATAAAGAAATATCTTCTCAACTCAAGCATGTTCTAAAATACATAGATTGATTACCAATATTTTCCACAACAGTCTTATTCAGAGAGAAAAAATGCTATGTTGGTTGAATAAAGCTTATTTTTTACTTTATGTATTGGAGGAATGTATTCTTTAAATATAAAAAAATAGTCTTGCAGACTTATGATGTGTCACATGGATAGATGTAATAAAAAAAATAATCTGACTGGTCCAATGTTTCTTGGCAATACAAAAAACAATAACATAGTAGTATATAAATTGTGCAAATACATAATTGTATATGACCCACTAGATGTACACTGTAACATTAAACAATATTCCATGTGAGTGTACCTGATTTTAAACATATTTAGGTACTATTCATTGCCGTGTTTTAATGAGGAAAAAAAATACTGACGGCACCTTTATTTAACAGAACACTTTCTGTTTAAAACGATCTGACAGTTAATTACCAGATTTACATACACTCTAAATCCTAAACATTGAAAAAATATCTGTTAAATGTCATTCTAACATTCATTAATATTCCACATGAAAATTGACAATCTGGGGGGGTATGCTGGTTTTAGAGGGGAAACCCAGTTAGATGACTAGCTAAACTAGCTGAGCACCAACTCAGAAATCAAACAGGGAAATCATCTAGGCCAGGGCTAGGCAAGTCCGGTCCTAGAGAGCCGCTGTCCTGCAGAGTTTGGCTCCAACCCTGAAAAAACAACAACTCACCTGCCTGTTTCCACACTGAATTAAAAAAAGGTTTTTTTTTTATCAAAATTGCGTATTACGATATAAACTCACAATGCAAGTTATAAAGTCAGAGTTGTGTGATATACAGTCGCAATTACATGTTATAAATTCAGAATTGTGGGATAAAGCAGTTATGTAAATAAGACATTCATTGTGCATCAGCTTAACCGATTATAATGGAACTTTGTGAGATCGCGATGAAGTTGTTTAACTGCTTTTTAATGATAATAAAAAAGGGGAAGTGCATATCCTCATGGTGTTGGTTCACCAAAAGATTTAACACTCTTAACTCTCTTCCTAAATCAAGAAAAAATTGATGGCCTTTATAGGGGTTAAACCGGTGACAAACATAGGGCACAACAATTTTTATTGTTTTGGCGATGAGAACAAGAGGCCATTTCATATAATGACACCTGCCATATTTTTCATATCACTGCTATGCCTTTTTTAAGATATGAGTAGGTCAGTGAGACTGTGCTGTGGGGATTCGGTGCTTGCAGATCATTGTCGGCAGACGGCCATGTGGTCTCAGGGTGAGATTAATGACAGGCAGGCTTTATGTGATGGGAGACTGATGAAGGCCATTACACCAGGGGCAATGAATGGTGGCCACTCTGTTTTGGGCTTTCAGATAGAGGGGCAACAGGAATGATTTCCCCAACCAGACACAGACGGCAGTGTCGAGAGTTACATATTGGGATTAGCAGAATGTGGGATATATAAAAAGTCACAAATATTGTCACACAGACAATCATATTTTAAGATATTGAATTCACATAACCCTTCAGCAAGACCTTTCTGCTTTCTGAGTTGAGCTCTCCAAAATGGTTAATGTGAGAAAAAGATTTTTTTTATATAGAAAGTTCAAAAGAACAGCATTTATCTGAAATAGAAAGCTTTTGTAATATTATATACTAACGTTTGAAGTCAGTAAAAACATTTTTTTCAAAGATATTATTACTTTTATTCAGCAGGGATGCATTAAATTGATCAAAAGTGACAGTAAAGACATTTATACTGTTACAAAAGATGTTATTCAAAAAATTGTACACAACTTTTTCAACAATGATAATAATAAGAAATGTTTTTTGAGCAGCAAATCATCATATTAGAATTATTTTTGAAGGATCATGTGACACTGAAGTCTGAAGTAGTGATGCTGAAAATTCAGCTTTGATCACAGAAATATATTACATAAAATATATTCAAATCAAAAACATAATTTTAAATTGAAATGATATTTTATTTCACAATATATTTTTTGTATTTTAAGCATAAGATACTTCTTTAAAAACATTTAAAACATTGTACGATCCGAAACTTTTGAACAGCACTGTCATTATATAAAAAATGTTTTTTTGCCTGAAAAATGGTGGTTATGGTATGTTCCATAAGGTGCAGACTGCATGCCAAAGCTAAGGTGTCTAGAAAAATGTAATTGAGAAAGTTTTATTATGTCAGTGTGATTTAAATATAATACCAAAAAGTAATACCATTACTTTGTAATTCTAAATTTATATTTCAACTAAATGCCGTTCTTTTGAATCAAAAAATCCTGAAAAAAAATATTATCACACTTTCCACAAAGGTTTGGTTTCTTGACAACCAAATCAGCATATTAGAATGATTGATTTATGAAGGATCATGTGACACTAAAGACTGGAGTAATGATGCTGAACATTACAGGGGGGAAAAAAATACATTTTAAGATATTTTGAAATA